TCTCTCTCTCTTAATGTTTAGATAAAGAACGTCCAGTTTCTAATATCCTTATTCTGCTTAATTTTTTTTACTGATATATTTTTGTTTAAAATAATATTTAGAAATACTAAAAAAATACTGGGAAGCTTACAAGTTTCCCATAAATATCTATGCTTTACTTAAATATAATAATGTTTGTACTACGTTATCTTCAATATTAATGATTGATAATGTAAATATTACACATGTCTCTAGAAATGTTTTATAATAAACGTCTTTTTATAAAATCTTGAATAGACCTATAAGATGTCTTTTGATAACGTCTTAAAGACATTTTATTAAAAATTTGTTAAATGTTTTTTAAACAAGCATCTCTGCTTAAAATATTATATTTGAAAATGATAGAAAATTTATCATAATTTTTATGGTAATTTTGATTCACATATTTCACAACTCATTTACGAAATTTCGTAAGTGAATTCATGTACCATGTATTGTCTATAATTGATAAATATAAATTGATTATACCAACTTTCATATTCAACATGATTGAAAAGTGTAGTATCATAAGATATGATTAAACTACATAGATATTCTTTTCATTTTTATTTGATTCTATTTTATAACCATCATTATAAGTATAATTATTATGAAAGAATATTATATAGATATAGAATATTATATTAAGTAGTTTATTATAAAATAATAATAAATACATAATGCAATATTTACTATGATTCAGAAATATCAATTTATTAAACTCAATATTCAAGATGATTGAAAAGAACAGTACCATAAAATATGATTAAAATATATAGAAAGTCTATGTTGTACGTTTCGGTGCATGATAAGTCATATATATAAATCAATATAGGAATTCCATCCATTTCAATCTTATCCAATCATTTTCTATTAAATATTTTAAGCAAGGATGCTTAAGAATGCTCACCATATAACGATCAACGAACTATTTAGCTCCATTTAACAGTATTATGGGAAAACCAGGTTAATTTTCATTGCTTTGAATCTCAACTAATGGCATCTACGAATAAGACATGATCTGTTCTTTTCAGCTGTACTGCTGCACTGGTGCCATAAGTTAAAATAAAATAAAATATATTTGTCTTACTCTAACTTAGAGTCTTTAACTTTGCATCAATATAGCAGTGTAGCTGAAAAGAACAGACCTATATTAATGCTTGCTATATACCAAAGCGCATTATCTAAATCTTTTTTGATCATGAATGTAAAAATATCTGGACAGGGCATATTGTCGCGGGGGTGAAGTCCAAAGGGTGAGGGGAATAAAATATTTACTGTAATAGATTTGACATACCAAGATGGCAACGGTCGATAATTTCACGGAAAGTGAACTATTTTAACGTCTTAGAACAAATAAAACTTTCTCGTTTGAAAAAAAAAAATAGAAAATGAATTAAGTTTATATAAAGGATTCAAAAGGAATATTTTTAAGGATTTTCTATCCTTAAAAATACAAAATCCTGGCAAAATTCTAAGACAATTTTTTATCTTGCAAGATTTTGTCCGAGGCTTATTTTTTAAGTTATTAGCAAAAATAGTTTGCCTATCACAAGTTGAATATAGGAGGTAGGCAGGGGCGACGAAACTTACCGTCAAATATAGATGCTAACTTGGAGTGCCTGCTACAATCAGTTAATCGCTACGTACAAGCTACATTTTAATATTCACTGCCAGCATAAAAATCTACCCAGCAAACACAATAATATAACATCGTCATAATATAACGGAATGTAACGTGTAATATAACATGTTTGTTACATGTAATATATATGTTAGTTGTAACTTCCCACTCAAACAATATTGCAACTATATAACAGAAATATAATATGTTACTAAAATGTTATATAGCTGTTATATATATTGCTGAAATGTTATATAGCTGGAATATAAATTATTATTTCCCAACAATTATAGATATTTAATTGTACGCAGAGATTATAAGCTATCACGCAAATATCACTTAATTTGTAAAAATATGCTCCTAAAAATATTATATGTCACGTCTTGGTTGTTTTTTAAAACGTGTTTATTGTCCTTTTTGGGTCAATGGATTTAACCACTTTACCCTGGGATGGACAAGTTCGTGTGATTGTGAGTGAGTAAATGTGTAAACGTATGTGTGTGAACAATAATGATTTTACTTACTGATTTTGGTTTTGTATTGATTCTTTCTTTTAAGTAATTATTTTGAAATCCTTCTTGTACTGTAGTTACTGAAGAGGTAGGATCGGACTTAAGAGGTTGGTGAAGGTTTGGAAATAGGAGTAAAATGCGATGCTTAGGAATTGGTCAGGGGATATGTTAGGAAAACAAACTTTTGTCTCAATTGTTATGTATATTGTTTGTTTTTTAAAGGTTTGATTAATTATAAACTGGCTGACTGATTGATTGTTTATCTATCTGATCTTTCTAATCTGATCTTACTATTAGAATTACTACTACTGTGGGTAGTTGCACCCGTTTTTATAGGCAGGTGGCGAGATACCCCCGCGCGAGTTCTCACCACCTTTTAGTAGAAGGGGAAAGATGCTTCTCACGACATGTAAGCAATAATCAATAGTTAGATTTTGACACCTTTTATCAATCTATTGTTCATTGACACTCAGGGCATTTACTGCATTCCTGACGGTAACATAAGGTGCACTCGATCGAAATGAAGAGGAGTTACGTCGGACGTAACATATAATTATATATTTCGTATCAAAAATATTTTTACTAAAGGTAATAACATAAAAATATCTTGCCATTCTAAATTAATTAGCTCCCAAATAACACAAGATATTCTAGAATCATTCTAAAGCTATTCTAGACGTCTAGTGTCCCAGTATGTCCTCAGACGTTTTATACTATTGGATCTATTTTCATTTATTCATTTTCATCTTTCTGTAGATATTC